TCCTTAAAAGTTGAACATTTTGATATTTGCATGGTTTTTTTTTTTTAGCTTAAAGTATTCTGGAGTTAAGTGCTGAAAAACGGACAGAAGAAATCAGAATAATAAAGAATTGGATAACAATTCACCCTGCACACTCCCACTTCAGGCTCATTCCACCAGACTTAAACAGCTTTACTCTACTCTACTCTACTCTTTATTTACTCTATTTCAGTTTCCTAAATGGCATTTGGCATTTGAGAGAGAAACGCTATTTAGATTTTCTGTATGTCCTGCACATATAGTGAATTGACAATAAAAATCTTTGATCTTGATCTTGATAAATCTTGATAATTGATAGCAAACAAACAATAACACCTCGTACACGCCTTGTATGCCAACAAGGCCCACAAGAGGGCGTGGTAGGGCCACAGCCAGGAGTCGGTAAAGCTCCTCAGCACACAGTCTGGAGACTTCAGCTGTTGGCCGAGCGGACCTGGCCAGGCTGCCCGGGTCTTCACTGACCAGTAGCAGCCTTTCTGCCGCTCTTTTGGGGGAGAAAACAAAGCTTTCGGACAGTAACGCTCATGTGTACTTAACCACTCGTTTATATGTGGGCATCAGGACGGGAGGACCGAGCGATGTCTGCACCGGGTTTCACAAACCTGAACAGCTCCAGCAGCTCCAGCCAGGACTCAACCCCGAACGGTGGAGCTGCACCCCTCTACCAGAATGGTAAACCAGGCCGAATGATGCGATTAGCCAGCCCGTTAGCATGCTAACACGCTGTGATGTCAGATAGTTGGTCAGCTGCTGAGTTTTTAAACGACTACCATGTGGTAATGATCGTAACAGCATAGCACAGGGCGAAGTGTAAATTGACCGAAGCTGAGTATTTCGGTGTAGTTAGCCAATTGCTAACGCTAGCTAACTTAGGAGATACCCAACGCACTGCAACCCGTTGGAGATAGCGGTTAACATTAGCTGCTAAGCTAACGTAAAATGATCGCTAAGTGTTAGCAGGATAATATCAGTGTGACAGATTGCGCATCATCATTTTATAATATCAGCTTTATGCTAAGGCTCCGATACACCAACAGTTGATAAAATGTACACTGAATCATTTTACTTTTGATTAATGGTTGCTGCTGTGCTATCAGCACCCAGCTAGCTAGATAATACCCCTCAGTGCTGAGGTAACAGCTGTTGATGAAACTGGCCTGTTTAAAAGGAATGATGATCTTTGTTCAGTACTTTATTTATGAGCTTTATCCTAGTGGCCTAACTTAACTTGGGTGATGGTGGAAGTGGAAGTGGAAGTATGCTTTTTGAACATGGAGGTAACCACTTGTTCCTTCCTCCCAGGTCCAGCACAGACGTACCCATACATGCACACACCTTCAGGCTACTATGGAGCCCCACCTCAACAGCAGAGCTACCCCACCATCCCTGCCCACTCCACTCCTGCTCCAAACAAAGCGCCCATTATGAACCGTTCCCACAGTGCTAACTACTACCAGAACAACCAGCAGCATCCCCTTCCTCAGCATCATGTAGCATCTTCTGCATACAGTGCTCCCCCAAGCTCTGCCCCTCCTTCTCAGCCATATACAACCCTCCACTATTCAGCACCTCCACCATCAAATGCCCAGTTCAACCAACAGTCATTCCAGCAGCAGAATCCACCCTATGCCACTCCAGGATCTTACTGTGGACAGCAGTCATACCATACTCCCCCAGCACAGCACTCTCAACAACAACAGCAGCAGCCTAGTTTGGTTCCTGCACCAGCTGGTGGACCTGGAGCTCCCCTCTACCCCATTGTATCGTACCCATCTGCACCACGAAGTAGCCATTACGGCACCCTCAGTTCATACCAGAGTGCCTCCACACTTGGAGTCTTGCCCACCCAGACAGGCGCACCCCTGCATCAGTACAGCACCCCTCGGTCAGCCTCTACACAACCTGGGCACAGCGTAGCTCCCTCCAGTCAACCGACAGTGAATGGAAGCACAGGTATGTGTCAGTTTATATTGCACTGAGGCTGATCAGCTGCTGGCTGGAAAGTGAATTATTAAAGAAACAATACCTTGACATTTCTAAAAACTATAGTCTTATTCCAGAGTGCCGTATAAACACTGCAGTGTGCATGCAGAACCATCTATACTACTGGATCTGGATTAGTCACTATGAGCTTTTAAAAATGTTGTTACATCAGTTGAGTCCTTTACTGCCAAAACTTGTGTTTTTAGAATTTAGATTTTTGCATTTTTCAGGATGTGTCATTTAATACAGGTGCATAATAAAGGTGAATAATAAAAGTTTAAGGCACTGTTTTACATGTCCCTTACTTTAAAGGTTATTATGCTGTTTTGCACCTGCATCTATGTTAAGACTCCTACAAAAATCCATGTCCTGTATTTCTTTTTTTTTATTATTATTTATGGACCCTCAATGTGTCTGACTTAAAGTTTGATGATGACTGTACAAGTGTGAACATGTCATATACTTGTACACATTTAAACCTTAAAATAAGCATTCAGCGTTCCCAGACACTTGGTGTAGAGGAGCTGTCAGCAGCCAGTCACATTATATTAGCATGTGATTTGACAGTTGTTACTACATTACTTAGATCTTTCCCTTTTTGAACATTTCATCCTTTTTATGCCTCCGTGCTGGTGACAGCTGTGGCCAGAGGCTTTATGTTTTAGGGTTGTCTGTCGGTCTCAGTCTTGTAACGTATTATCTCAGGAACACCTTGAGGGGTTTTCGTCAGATTTGGCAGAAAGGTCCACCTGGACTCAAGGATGAACTGATTAGATTTTGGAGGTGAAAAGTCACTGGTTGGCAGAGGCATACAACCATGAGATGGTACTTGTAGTTTCTTATCTTTTGTGTTCTTTTTTACAGCAGCTCAGGCCATAGTCCCTCGACATTACGACCAAAGTCATCAGGCTTCTCTGAGCTATGACTCCTACAGCGGGGCCTCTCACAGCAGTGGTGGTGCAGATGCAGACCGACCGCCCTCAGGAACCCCCTCCGCTTCAGTCCATTCCTCGCCGGGCCACCACCAAGGTAACAAGGAGATTCTAATTGTTTTTTTTAAACTGGACAAAACATTTCATTTATTTATTTTTTTTTACCCAGGCACTGCTGTAACATAAGAAATTCTTTGTTTAAACTATGAATACTGATGAACAACAGCTTAAAGCAGTGGTTACCCAACTTTTTCTGCTGAGCCCCCCTTTTATGGGTTAAAATATTTTTAAGCCCCTCCACCATCAGTTACCCCCATCTTAACGCTGGGGGTACCCCCCACTTTGGTAACCACTGGCTTAGAGGGTGTGGAGAGAGGAGTGTTTGCAGCGGTCCTTATGTGTTTATGTTTAGTTGAAGGTTGACAAACTGCTTTTCTGTAGTGAACCCAGAAGACCGTAGTGAAGCATTGTGGCCGTTTGAAAACAGTTAAAATGTAAGAAAGTTCTGTTAAAAAGTTAACATCAAAAACTTAGAAGCTGAACATGAAATCAGTTTCCTGTTTTTATTCTCCTTCCTGCAGAGTTTGAGAAAGGGGCCTGTCATTTGACCTTTATAGTCTGGTTGAAAACCTCTTTTCTAACCTGCTTCACTTTGGTGTTCTTTTGTGCTCTGGTGCCTGGTTGTTTTCTCTTCTGGTGCATCACTTGTTTAGATTGTGAGGATGGTTTACATGTCCACAGCTGCACTTTAGAAACATACCTCACCTAATCTGTTGCATGCATAGCTGCACACACTTTCAAATGTGCAGGTGTGAGCATTTATTAAGTGCAAGGGTTTCATGTTGGAGCCTACCACTTCCCAGCTGCTGGTTTATTTTGGCTGTGATCTTTGCATTTTGCAACCGTTACTTTCTTTAGCAGGTAAGAACAAATGAGTCAGTTCAGATTTAATCATAAGTTTGTTTGCAAGCAGCATTTGACTTTGAAAGAAAGTGGACAGTATCTTAAGAAGCACCAATAAACAACATTTCTGTTTAATCTCGGTGGCCAGTACACTGAGATACTTGATGCCTACAGTACACATAATTGTGCGTACTTGTGAATTTAAGTTATTGTTTAGTTGGACCTTTATTTTGTACTACCTTCTCAGTTGGCCGCTTTATATGTGGACCTGGATACAGTTAATGTTAGAAGATGCCTTGTTGTGAAATGGGTTATTTCACTTTCGTTGCCAAAAAATTCAAAATATTTTAAATTTAGCTGCAGCTTCTGTAAGTGTGATGCAAAGACACATGAAACCGAGATGATCAGCGCTGTCCTCTGTGTGGTCTTGAAGTTAGTTTGTCTGGCAACTCACCAGCTACTTATTCCCACCTCACCCCCCCCCCCCCCCCCCCCCACCCGATGGATATGTTGCTAATAGTGGAGCTAGCTCTGGCTCTGTCACCGCCTCGGGTCCAGCAGCAGCGCCCTCTTCATCCAGCTCTGATGACGATGACGATGAGGAGGAGGATGAGGAAGCAGGTCTGCTTTAGCTTTTACCTCTCCCATAAATCCCTCTTGTCCCATAAACTGCTTCAGCTTTGTCCAGATTTTATTCCTCCCCTTAAAAACTTGACGTCACCTATCATTTTGTTTCTACATTCCTACCGCTCACTTGCTTCTGCTGTCCTGTTCTGTGTCTGAGCCTCTGTCCCTTCTGCTCCCCCCACCTGTACCACCCCCTTTCTAAATGGCTAATCAGATTTTTTTTTTTCCTGCCTGTCTTCCATAGTTCACCTGTTGCTCATCATCTTTCCCCCTGACAGTCATCGATGCTTGTCCTAAATGTTGAATCCATCTTTTAAACTTGTTTGTTGCTCTGGCACTGAAAAGTGGCATGAAATAGTTTCTCTCAGAAATGTTAAAGGTCAGTAGATTAACATTTCTGGTTGAGGCCTTCAGCCATGTTCAGAGCTTTTCTTACTGTCTGTCACACTGTGCACGCTGTCTTCCCTGTGTGCTGTGTAGCTCGCTCTCACTCTGGAATCCTTGGCATATGGTCATCTGTTTGTAGTTCACCCCCAGTTATCAGCTGTGGTTGCTGATGGGCAAAATCAATCATTTGTCAGCTGTTTGTCAGAAGGTAGATGGGATTTTTGAAAATCACTTTTTATCTCAATTATAAGGTGTTTGCTGCTGAAATGATTCATTTAGTCAATAACCCTGTGGAATTGTTTCAAGCATTTTTCATCATTTTCAGACAGACAGAATTTTTAATGTGATACAAACTATATGAGACATTACCAATATTTTCAGCTGAGTAAAAATGTTCAATCTGCCTTTTTCAGAGTGACTGAAAAACTGTTCTGAGTTATTACTAGAGACAATCCTTCTTGCATAGGTTTGAGAAGACGTTGTCATGTTGCAGAAACCTCTCTCTCATCACAGATTCATTAGTTACTTCTTTTCATCCGCTTCATGCACACGCTTGTTGTGGCCACTCGGGTGTTCAGCTGAGGGCTGTCCCTCAGGAGCTGTGTCATCAGCCAGAGGTGAACAGGATTTTAAATATAACCACTCCCCTGCCAGCAGGTCCAGGCTCTGCGTATGTGTTTGCCGACTTGTTTGCTCCCTACGAGAGAGCAGCACAGCTCGCACTCATTAGCACGTCTCTTAATAAAAAGAGAAGCTTGTTTTAGCTGTCGGCTTTTCCCTCATGTTCGCACCAATTCTCCCTGGTGTTGCTTTCTCTTACAGGTCATCTGCTGACACAAAATACCTGTTGTTGATATATGGGTGTCATGCAAATATTTTTCTGCTGAATACAAATGGATGCAAAATTATATTCCAGTGTTGTTCCAGTGTTTTTTGATTTGATTGAAATGGTTCATTTGGACACAGTATGATCGCCTTATCAGGATGTGATGCCACTGAGACTCTGTAAATGATAAATGAATTAATGCCCTGTGCTCGTTTACAACAGTGGCAGTTTAGTGTGACTTTACTACGAAGTGGACTGGGGGAAACGACCCTCCACGACCAGTGCTGATTGTGAGAATCTGATTAGAAAGGGGGACAGTATGAATGGAGCTAAAATTATCATTACTCGGGGGTGGTTTAGGGGTTAGTTGTCCAAAATCAGATTGGAATCAAACCGGCACTGATGCATCATGGGGGATTAATGTACTCAAGCGGGACATGTGGCAACAGCTGGGGGGCTTACTCTTACCTATCCCCTTTATTAATTTATGAGTTGACAGAACAAAGGCCAAGAGGAAGAGGAGGAGGCTTGAGAAGAATCTCGGAGAAGGAAGGTGGCTTAGCTCTGCGGGTGTCCTCCTCCACCTCCTCTGCAGATAATCCATTAGTCTGCTGGTCCAGTTTCGTCAGAGATAATTGGATCCTATTCTTTCCAGTGAGATCTCAGTTTGCTGCTGTTGATCCCTCCTTTTAGCTTGTATGGATGAAAGGGTTCATTCAAATATTCCAACCCTATAATCCTCTTGGAAAATCTAGTTATTACTGGACAAGAGAGAAACCACAGTGGCTGGAATAGATCATAATGCATTATATCAACAAAATGTATTATTTGAGGGTGTACATTTTGTCTTTATTTTAAAAAGGCAGGGTAGCAAATGAGATGGATGTGAGGGCAGAGAAGTAGGATGACGTGCTACAGATAAAGTGGTGGTGCATTTCTTGGTATTTTGGCTTTGAAAGCTGTGGGTTATTTAAACACAGAGTGAGCATCAGAAGAGAGAAACTGTGTGTGTGTGTGTGTGTGTGTGTGTGTGTGTGTGCGCTAGAGAAGGGGAGAGTGTGTGAATGAAGACAAACCCAAGTAAGAAACCATGAATCAGACACTGAGCGTCAGACATTGAGAGCTGTAGAGGGAGAGAACAGTGATAAGATGATCTCCTGTTATATTTCTGTCCCTCTATTCCTCTGTCCCCTCCACGTCTTCTGTCCTCAGAGGCCCCGACCTAAGACTGATGCTCATCCTTTCATCATGTTTTGGTCCCTGTGTTCACTCTGCCTCCTCTCTCACTCTTGCTCTGAGTCCAGAGGGAGGCCAGACGCAGCACACGCCACAGCCAAACCAACAAAAGCTGCTTTTCCTTCTCTGCAGTGTTTTGGCTTTGTTCTTCTCCCTCTTTGCCTCTATCCTCCTTTCTTGTTGACTTCATTTACTGCTGCTCTCCTTGGTTCTCAGACCTTCCCTCTGATTTATCTTTCAACCTTTCATTGTTTCTTGGTTTTACTTTTAGTTTAGTTGTACTTTCTTTATTGTGCTATCCCTCTGGGTCCTTGTTTAATATAGTACTTTTATTCTCTGCTCTTCCAGTACTCTCAGCCGGTCTTTTTATTTCAGTTTTAATTCTTTCTGTGTTTCGTGTCGTCTCTCTCTGGCTCAGGTGGTGATACTTCCTCTTCCACTACTGGTAGCGCCTCCCCGGTGCTCAACAGCTTTGACTCCCTCGAAGGGGGCAGCTTTCCAGGTATATCACTGACATAGACATATTGCATCTAAATAATAGGCACATCTATCACATTATAAAGCTACCAAGGTCTTTTGTCTCTCCTGTTTCTTTTATTGAAAGTGATTCCCAGTGGGTGCAACACGATGCGTAACAGGTCACCATTTCACTCACAGCACTTCTATGATAATGTTACAATTCTACACAACACGTTTTATGTTCAGTAAAGGCTGTGGATTCTGTGCTCAGTATTTCCGGATCGCTTATTTTCTTGACATTTAAGTTGATGCACTTTTCAAATTATGCAAAATCCTGTGAGCAAGATGTCGTGCATAAATGCATTTCACATTGAACATCAACTATCCCAACTATTATCTTTGCACTTTTGTAATCATGCCAACACACTAGAGGCCACCTGGTTATTTCCAACATAAATCACACTGTCTTCCCCAGATTCCCTGCCACCTTCTAGTGATATGACCAACCAGGCTCAACCCTACAGTAGCTACAGTTACCCCAGCATGCAGCCAGCCTATCAGCAGAGACCGTCCTCCCACACAGAGTCCTCCCCCTCTCACAACCAGTACGGCCAGCCAGGCTACCAACAGTACTCCCAGGTGAGGCCGCAACTTGAATGAAACTATTCTTTTTATTCTCTTGTGCACCAGCCTGGATCCAGGCCTTGAATCACCACCCACACGTTTTCACAGCGCTCTGTTACTGCCTGTGAGTGGCTGTTTCTACCGACACTGGGGCCAGTTAAATCCTTTGTAATGATCAACTTGAGACTTGGTCTCTTGGCAGTTGTGAAGGGAATCTTTCACTGTTTTCTGACATTTAGATACCACTCAGTGACTTCATAAAATAATCTCTAGATAAGTTAATTGGTCATGAAAATAATTGACGGGCCCTGATAAATATGCACTGAGCATGTTCATGATCTTCTTTTTTTAACAAGTCATATCGCAGTATTCCTACTCCTGCAGTCAGCAGTCTTACTGCTGCTTATTGATGAGTGTCAGCCCACACTTGACAAACGTATTAAGCTGTACTGGACACATTGATTAAGTTGGTACAAAAGCATTTCTGAAAACTTATGAGAAACTGATCCTTCCATCCATCTTCGTCCGCTTTATCCGAGACCGGGTTGCAGGGGCAGTAGTCTGAGCAGAGCCTCCCAGACTTCCCTCTCCCCACACACCTCCTCTAGCTCCTCAGGAGGAACCCCGAGGGGTTCCCAGGCCAGCCAGGAAACGTAGACTCTCCAACATGTCCTGGGTCTGCCCCAAGGCCTTCTCCCGGAGGGACATGCCCGGAATACCTCCCCAGGGAGGCATCCAGGGGGCATCCTAAACAGGTGCCTGAGCCACCTCAGCTGGTTCCTCTCAGCGTGGAGGAGCAGCGGCTCTACTCTGAGCTTCTCATTCCTCCTCTAGCTCCTCAGGAGGAACCCCGAGGGGTTCCCAGGCCAGCCAGGAAACGTAGACTCTCCAACATGTCCTGGGTCTGCCCCAAGGCCTTCTCCCGGAGGGACATGCCCGGAATACCTCCCCAGGGAGGCATCCAGGGGGCATCCTAAACAGGTGCCTGAGCCACCTCAGCTGGTTCCTCTCAGCGTGGAGGAGCAGCGGCTCTACTCTGAGCTTCTCATTGGTGACTGAGCTCCGCCCCCTATCCCTAAGGGTGCGCCCAGCCACTTTCCGGAGGAAACTCATTTCTGCCGCTTGTATCCGCGATCTTATTCTTTCAGTCATGACCCAGAGTTCATGGCCATAGGTGAGGGTAGGAACGTAGATCGACCGGTAAATTGAGAGCTTCACCTTACGACTCAGCTCCTTCTTCACCACAACGGACCGGTACAGAGCCCGCATTACTGTGGACTCCGCACCGATCCGTCTGTCAACCTGCCGCTCCATTTTTCCTTTACTCGTGAACAAGACCTCAAGGTACTTAAACTCCTCCACTTGAGGGAGCAACTCGCCCCCAACCCGGGTAGAGCAATCCATCTTTTTCCGAAACTGATGTTTTACTGAATTTTGCAAATACACTGAGCTCATCTATTAATCTCATCCTCACTTGAAGAATAGAAAGACGTCATTTCTTGATGGTTTTTATTCTCTGTAGCCATTCCCGAGCTTGTCCCAACTGTCTGCGGCCCTGGGGGGGCTGAGCGGGGTGCCAGAGCTGGAGGTGGAGGCTCTGAGGCCGGTCAACCTGCTGCAGGAGAGGAACTTGCTGCCCCCCAGACCCCTGGAGGCTCCTGAACCCAACCTCAGCCCTGATCTGAAGAAGGTCAACTGCAGTCCACAGTAAGTGACGTGTAGGAAGTCGTACCCAATGTGATGTAGATTTTTGCTCGCATATTGTTTACTCTGTTTGAGCTACAAAATAAAAGCTTATCTGGAAAAGGAGCTACTAATGCACATCATAATCACAACTCAGAGACCTTTAGGAAATGAATGGATAAAAAAATTAAAGCCTTTTAATATGAAGTAACCTTTTCTTAATCTTAGTCTGTTTTTCACTTTCACTTCAGCCCTTTTATACTGTTTGTCTCAGTTTCTCACTTTTTGTTATTTGTTCTCTCACACTTTTCTTTTAGCTCTCACACGCGTAACCTCCGACTCTGTCGCTGTGTAATCTGTGGATGTATTGTCTTGTGTGTTTCTCTGCTGATTAGGACATTCAGGTGTACCCTGAGCAGCATCCCCCAGACTCAGGCTCTGCTCAACAAGGCCCGGCTCCCCCTGGGCCTCCTCCTCCACCCCTTCAGAGACTTACAGGTATGATCAGACAACTGAAACCAAACACAGTGAAGCATTTGACTTGATGATTAATGGAATAATCATTTCAGCTCTAGAGTTTGGAAAGTGCAGAACAGCTAGTACACCTTATGGTTCAAAGTAGAAGTCCCTGAGAAAACAGACTTCACTTGCACAAATTTGCTCCACCAGATTCACACAGAAAGCAAAACAAAGCTTCTCTTCAGTCGTCTGCTGGATGCCCCCCGTTTTGTTTGTCACCATTGGAAAAAGGACGTTGGAGACCAAAACCTGAAGAAACACGAAATGAAAGACCCATTTATAGTTTTGTTTTCTTACCAGTCACTTTGTTTTTCTCTTGTCATCTTTCTGCAGCAGTTACCAGTGATCACATCGAACACAATCGTGCGCTGTCGCTCCTGTCGCACCTACATCAATCCATTTATCACCTTCCTGGACCAGCGCAGGTGGAAGTGTAACCTCTGCTACCGGGTCAATGATGGTATGAGTCCAGTTCGATGTTATTCTGTCATTAATATTCTTTTTCTGTCTCCTGTCCTGTTATGTGTGCATGATACTTTATTGGTGTTAATTTAATGGGGCTTTGTGTTCCATGTAGTTTTGCAGATGTTATACTCACTTTTATTCTTTCTCCTTCAGTTCCAGATGAATTTATGTACAACCCAGTCACCAGGTCGTATGGTGAGCCCCACAAAAGACCAGAAGTCCAAAACGCCACTGTGGAGTTCATCGCCTCCTCAGACTACATGGTGCGCTGTCTATCCCGTCCTCACACCTTTGGCTCTTCTCGGTTTTGGGTGTGCAGTTATAAATGTTTGTGTAGTGTGAACAGCAAAGCAAACAATAAAAAATAAGTCATGCAGGCTTTGAATTAGACAGTTGACAGGTCATGCATGTCCTCATTCAGTCAGCCGTGTGTGATAGTGTACCGCTCGTTACATCAGCTCATTACAGCAGTCACATGTGTGCTTGTGTGTTTAGCTGCGGCCTCCACAGCCGGCAGTCTACCTGTTTGTGCTCGACGTGTCTCACAATGCTGTTGAAGCTGGCTACCTGAAGTTCTTCTGTGAATCCCTTCTGGAGAACCTGGACAAGTGAGTGCTGTTAATAATCAGTAAAGAAAGTGCAACTGTAGCAGGTTTATGAGTTTGTCATGCACAAGCACCGAATTGGAATTGCCTACCATCTCAAACTATTTTGTCTTAGACCAGATGAAAGAGAAGATGAAAATAAGCAGATGTGATGAACAGCTGTCACAGCCATCCCTCTGGAGTATTTATCTGGGGTTTTCCAACGAGAGCAGTTTTGACCGAGGGTTGTTGTGTGCCCCAGGTTGCCTGGAGATACGCGTACCAGGGTGGGCTTCCTTACCTTTGACAACACCATCCACTTCTACAACCTCCAGGAAGGACTGTCGCAGCCGCAGATGCTGGTGGTGTCTGACATAGATGGTGTGCCCTCTCACTAGGACATAGACTTCACAGTGTCAGGACACAAAAGGAAACTTTGTTGCTTTAACTACTGATAGTGTGTTGCACCAGTGTCCAGAATGTTCTTATTGGTACACTTCCTAAAGCTCTTTTAGTTTAAGAGCAGTCTAATAGTTGAGAGACTAGAAAGCTCCTCAGAAAAGAAAAACAACTTTGTCATGAGGAGTCAGAGAATTTAATCCAATGAATGAATTAATCTGACTTTTGTATGTATTTTCAGATACTCTGATGTGTTATGAATATTGTGATAAATCATTCTACTGTGATGCAGATGTCAGTCTCTTCTTCCCTCAGATGTTTTCATCCCTTCTCATGACAGTCTGATGGTGAACCTAAAGGAAAGCAAGGAGGTACATCCTTTTATTTGTGAACACAGACAACACTTTGTGTAATCAGTCTTAATCCACGTTCTTTCCTTAGTCTCTTAGGTCTTTCTCAATTTTCTCTTCCCCCATCCCTCCCCTCCTCCAGCTGGTGCAGGACCTACTGACCTCACTGCCCACCATGTTCAGTCAGAACAGGGAGACCCACAGCGCCCTGGGCCCGGCATTACAAGCTGCCTTCAAGCTCATGTCGCCCACTGGGGGGCGCGTCACAGTGTTCCAGACCCAGCTGCCCTCGCTGGGTGCTGGTATGCTGCAGTCGAGGGAAGACCCCAACCAGCGCTCGAGCACAAAGGTGGAGATTTATGATTTTATTTTTGTTGATCAGAAGTTTAGGCTATTGCTGTGCGTTCTAAACATCCATGTCTTTCAAACAAACAGTACATTAAAATGGTTCACTTCTGTTTGGCAAAGGGAAAAGGCACCACACAGAGTGTTATGTGCTAAAAATGTACTAAATAGTTCATGAACTAGGTCTAATTTCTGTTGTCGGGGAGAAAATAGCTTTTGACAGTGATGATTTTTTAACATCCTTCTACTGAAAACATTAAATAGGTTTAATATCTCAAGACAAACACCTGGATAAAAAAATCTATAGGTCAACTAATAACTTAATAGTTAAATAAGACATTACAGTTATCATTAGAAGTTTGTATTTCATCATTCATTATCTTATAATAATAATAATAATAATAATAGTAAGGTCTAGAGTCTGGACCTTTGTAAAGTGTCCTGAGATGACTTTTGTTGTGATTTAGTGCGATAGAAATAAAATTGAACACTGGACGTGTGTAAATGAATATTTATATGAATCTTGATAATGTTGAAGGCAGGAATAGTTTTTCTTTACCATTTTTAAAATTGCATGCAACTTCTAAAGGATGATGATGTGATTTATAAGGGCTAAACCCAACCATGTGAGTTGAAATATGGCAAGAGAAGGCCGACTCTACACCCCCTACTGTGTGGATTTATGTGTCATTTATAGTCTTTCCACAACTCACTTTTATTACCAGCCACAGCATCACAGTTGGCTCTCACATTTCCCTGTAGACAGACCATCCGTGGAGGATGCTGAGCTGAAGACGGCGTTCTTGTCCTCTCAGGACTGATTTATTGATCTTCATCATCTGCGTTCTCTTTTTGATCTGAAAAACCTACCCAGAATTTACTCTAGTGGTTTCCAAAAATCATGAATAACGCTAACTGAGAACAGATGTGCTTTCTTTCTCATGGAAAGTGATTTTCTGTTCTGTAACTTCTGTGCTTTTAGGAGAAGGCTTAAAAAAACAAACTATGGAAAATATTGAAATCAAGCAATGAACAAGGGATACTCTTCATCAGTGCCCTCAGTCTGCATCCTTTGATATCATGCAACAATTTGTGGACAATTAAAATCCCAAAACCTGAAGCCGGTGTTTCTTCCTCTCCGTTTTGAGTCATTGAACCCAGAACAACAAGCTGATTTTTGTTTGTTTACAATTAGCTTGTGTCCTTCCAGGGAGTGCAGCACCTCGGCCCAGCCACAGACTTCTATAAGAAACTGGCTCTGGACTGCTCAGGACAACAGATTGGGGTGGACCTTTTCCTGCTCAGCTCTCAGTACGCTGATCTTGCCTCGCTGGGTAAGAACACCATCCATCTCTGTTGTTCCTACACTGGTGCTCAGTGTGAAACATCTTTACAACTGTTTGATGGCTAACCTGGTCAAAATTAGCACTTGGCTACATATTAATCCTGTAAATATTAATTAAGTTGTGATTTCACACTTTCACTGTCCTCCTCGTCCCGTTCCTCCAGCATGTATCTCCAAGTATTCAGCAGGGAGCATCTTTTACTACCCATCCTTTCATTACATCCACAACCCGGCACAGCTGGAGAAGTTCCAGAAGGATCTTGAGCGCTACCTCACCAGGAAGATTGGCTTCGAGGCCGTCATGAGAATACGATGCACTAAAGGTATTAGAAGTGTGTCACACTGTTCCTTCAGGTATTTGCAATCCCATAAGACACTGCTGTTTCTTAAGATTAGGTAACATTTGAGTGGCAGCTGTTTTTCACTTGATGTTTTTGGACACTGCCTGATGAGGTGTTGTGCTCTTTGAGCTCTTGATGCTACTGTTACTTCAGCGCTCACAGCTGCATTCTGTGTTGGAACAAAGGAAAAAAAAACAACCTGTTAACAGGGTTGGCCAGTTATTCCACAACCTGCTGTCTCAAATTTCACTTCTTCTTTAGCTGGTTACGTGGGGGATTTTTGCATGTTTTCTGCACTTGTTTTTCTCTTTACCTTCAGGTTTATCCATCCATACGTTCCATGGGAACTTTTTTGTGCGCTCCACTGACCTGCTGTCCCTGGCCAACGTGAACCCAGACTCTGCCTTCGCTGTCCAGATGTCAATCGAAGACTCCCTGGCAGACACATCTCTGGCCTGCTTCCAGGCTGCTCTGCTCTACACCTCCAGTAAAGGTATACAAATGCACACATAAACACGCACACGCTCTTGGACTGTAGTGAGGGAGCTGTGGTTTTCCTTGCTGGTTCCAAGATGTGAAGGTTTACTCCGAAGCTAAATGCTGCTTATGGCTTATTTTAATACATTGAAATACCACATCAAAGTTAGGACATTATTAGGTGTTATTCACAAGTTTGGGTTTTCTCTTCTTTGCTGTGATTCTCATCTTTTGTCAAATCTCCAAGCATGTTAAAATGAACAACCAGCTGTGTTACTGATGGGTTGTTCATCCGTCTGTCCCTGTAGGAAAAAGGCGCATCAGAGTTCACACCCTGTGTCTGCCAGTTGTCAACCAGCTGAGTGATGTGTATGCTGGAGCTGATGTTCAGGCCATCACTTGTCTGCTGGCCAACATGGGTGAGTCTGTGCACAAACTCTCACCTCAAATACGCATCTTGACTTGGAAACTATCAACCTTTTTTTGTCCCCATGTGAAACTGTAATCAGCAGCAGTGCATTGTTGTTACATTCCTTTTATTACTTGGCTTGGCTCTCTCAGTGGAGTGTTTAAACAACTCCAAATCCACCACACACAGTGTTGCTTCTTCTGTATTTAACACATGTATAAATAGGAAACAAGACACTACAGTTTCACGAGCAGGCTCCGCAGACGTCCCAGCCTCAGAAACACGGCTACAAACCCTCCAACTTTAAAAAAAAGTTGACTCCTGCATGTGCAAGCTTTAACATTTGCCACATCTGTTTGACAAAAATAAGACCACTTAACAAATTAACTGGAGTCGCTCGATTTCTCCTCTTCTAGTTGAGGCTACCGTCCACCTCAAACTCTTCTAAACCCTCCATAACAGTTGCAGTAAGAAAGAGAGACTTGATGCACCTGTCTTAATTTTTAGAAAGAATTGATGTACACATGTACTAACATGCACGTTTTTTGTAGCTTTTGATCTATGAACTGTCTTTTCTGGGTTTTTATTCCAGCCATCGACCGGTCGATATCGTCCAGCTTGTCAGATGCTCGAGATGCCCTGGTGAACGCAGTGGTGGATTTGGTGACCGCCTACAAGAGCAGTGTGTCAAACCTGCAGCAGTCCGGCCTCGTCGTCCCCGCTGCCTTGCGCCTCTTTCCCCTGTACATCCTTGCTCTCCTCAAACAGGTGTGGCTGCGTTACGAAGAACGCATTAGTTACATAGGTTCATTTCAGACTTTAGACGCACACTACAAAAAAACAACGTTGTGTGTAAACACACAGTATTCCACCTCTACAGCAGTGTTACACACCTGACTGTGGGAACTGTGTTTACATCACACAATATAAAAACACCTCACACAAACACAGTAATGAAGGCTGAGTTGACAGTCATATGGCTCCTTACACGGTCAGTGACTGTCCCTCCATCCAGGGCATGTCCATTCAGACACGACTCTCACAGCTGTGTGTGTGTGTGTGTGTGTGTGTGTGTGTGTGTGTCTACATTAAATTATGTATAATTTCTAGCCAATGTTTGATACCAGAAATCTGCTGATGGTGCTTTCTTTTTTTATTACTCTCCCCTTGGATCTTAGAACAGCAGACTCCATGTTTTTAATCCGATCTGTTGGTTGTATTGGCATTATTTTGTAACATTATAAATCACCTTGGAGTAAATTTTAGCATGAACCGTGCTGTACAAATGAAATTATTATAATTATGTCATTAGAACTTGGTTCTCTTGCTTCCTTGTTGATGTAGTTTTAGTTTAGTTTTGGTCGGGGTTTAAAAAAACGTATAGAGATGCTTAATTAGTATTTTAACTTTTGGACTCTTCAGATGAAACCTTAGTTTGTCACGGTTGCTTGTTCTATTTCCAAAACATGCAGATTCAGAGATGGTAAAACATGACACACCAGTAAATTTGTGACTGTGAAGAAGAAGAAGGATGGTATAAATAATTCCAGAATGCTTTACAATCTATACATGATGCAACATATTCTATGCTTAGACCTTCAGCAGAATAAATATGAAGCAAAGGTTTTCATTTGTTTTCAGAAAGCGCTGCGGACAGGCACCAGCACACGGCTGGATGAGCGGGTCTTTGCCATGTGTGAGTTTAAGACACAGCCACTGCAGCAGCTGATGCGAATAGTTCATCCTGACCTGTACAGGCTGGACAACATGTCGGAGCAGGTAGGAGCATACTGAGCTGAATGTTGTTTGAGTGATGAGTCAGGGAAGTCAGGGCGAAGTCAACTGTGCGTGGGTTTGGCCATCTGCTGA